GGAGGGAAATAATGGTCTGAAAAATAAGCCTGTTAATAATTGAGGGGGGGTGTAAATACTGTTGATTCTCCAATGGCTGAGATACTAAAGTGCTTTTTTAAATCTGTCTTGAACATGAAAAATAAAGAAAAGAAGTTTGGACAATTAGGAAGTGAGGAAGATCCTGTAATAACTATTACTAAAGAGCAGGTAAGGGATTACTTCGGAACCCTTGGTCACATCCAAACCAGCCCATCAAAGCTGCAGGGGGATTGGCACTGACACACCTGCACAAAATTGCTGAGAACTGGGGACAGGCCAGGATCAGTTTAAGAAAATAAAGCAAAAACAAGAGAACAAACAGGAAAATCCTGTTTCCTGAAAAAGGTTTAGTTTCTCGTGAGAATTAACGGAACCAGCCCTTGGGTTCTGCTGGTCTGAGGTCTCACTTGCAGAAAGAAAGAGAGAGTGTCACAGGATCTGGAGGTCTCGGGGTAGGAGGCTTGCAGGCAGCAGGTGCTCTTGTGGGAACAGGTAGAGAGTTAATCTCATCAGAGTGATGTGTTCTGGTTAAATGACAGAGTTTAATGACAATTAAATGGCTCATGTGACACCAAAGGGCTGTAAGGTTTTGATCTATCAATTGTGAAGTATTTTCAAACCTTACAATCAACAAGAATGAAAGCTGGAACCTCTGAGGTACCTGCCAGGGCCTCTTCTTGTGTCTGTAAGGAAAAACCTGTGTACTGAGGCTTGGAGTAAAATGTGGGCGCCTTTGCCAAGGGGTATGGGCTGTTAGAGCTCCCTCAGGATCAGCTCCCTTGGAATTCTGCTATTCCATGAGCTGGCACGAATCACACAAGACACAGCCTTTCAGACTGGACCCAGTATGAAGCCTCCTGCTTAATTCTGTGTGGGCTGACACGGGGAAGAGCTGCTGAAAATATGTAGCTGTCACTCGGGCAGGGCCACTGAAAGATGTACAGTATAAATCTGTGTCATCCTGATTCTGAACCCGGGATGCTGCCAAGGCCAGTGTTTGTCAGGATGCAAAATGAAAAGCCCAGGGCTGAGGGAGCAAAGAATCCAGTTGGTATTTAAAGCAGGTGAACAGAAAGCTTAGGGCAAAATGAAAAACCACTCTGGAAGGCACGGGCAGAGCTGAATCAGAGACGAGGGAGAAATTGCAGGTGCTTTAGCATATCCCAGAAAACTAATAAGGGGCCCAGGGAAGACCTGAGAGAGGCCCTGGGGCCACAGCTTGAAGGGATCACTGTGAGGAAGGAGTGACAGAGGGTCCAGAGCCGGTGTTCCCTCATGGAAACCCCACAGAGCCCAGAGCTGCCACCTTGGGGACCTGTAGGCACATTCCTGTGCTGCCCCACAGCCCTGAGAGGGAAAGATGGTGTCACTTTGTGGGTGACTGACAGTTTTGAGCTGTGAAGCTGATAGAGATGGTTTCATTTGTGCTTCAGATCTTCCAGAGATCGGTCTTCGAGAGAGAAGTCCCGAGACAGAGAGAGGAAAGACAAGAGCTCTTCTGAGAGGCGGCACGAGAGCACAAACGGCAAATCTCGTTCCAAGAGGTCAGAAGAGAGAGAAGCTGGAGAGATCTGAACTCAAAAACGATCTGTGTTGCACTGTAAATAGTCTGATAAACATTCTACACAAAAGCCTAAATTTTCCCATTTATATTTACTGAATACAACTCATCTTTTGTAGTTTGGGGTTTTTATTGTTTGGCAGATAGCTGTGAGTTTGTAGAGAACACAAGAGTTACGTACTGTTTAACAGGGTTTTGTTTTAGTAGGAATAAATAAACCTGGATGGATGGTTTTGAGCCCAGGCCAGTGTGGACACCCTGTGTTTGTCCTGACAGTGGTTGGGGCCGTGCTGTGCCTGGAGCCCTGAGCTGCCCTGACCTTTGTAACGCTTCAGCCCTTCCCAGAAGCCCTCCCTGACCCTCTGTGAGCACACCAGTAGTGCTGGTCCTCACTTTATTCTATTTTTACTTTTGTTTATGTATGTCAAAAGAAAATCCTGATTTTTTTTTAATCCCTTTTAGTGCTTAGCCACCTCATTTTTATGTCTCCAGCACCTGAGTTGCCTCAGTTGTCCAGCTGAGGTGAGACAGGTAAAATTTGGCCCTGATTTATTCTGAAAGCTGTGAGGGTGACCAGATCAGCACGTTTCTGAGATGGGCTCAGGTCTGATTTTAGTCCCTTTACAGGTCAGACAGTGGGTGTGAGCAAAGCAGTGGGAGACCGAGGCTGGTTTCATCTGGCTGTTTACTGTGCACTCTGCAGCCAGAGCTTCCCCTGGGGGACTTTCTGACCTGCAGCCAAAAGCTTTGGTGTGTTCCCAAGGCCAGGGAGGCAGAAGGGGGCAGAGGTGCCTCGGCTGGAGGTGTCCCAGCGCCCGCTGATCTGTAACCGGGTCTGTGTCCCAGGAGGGCAGGAAGGAGCCCGGCTGTGCCAGCCCTTGGTCGCCATCCAGGGTCGGCGTTTTGTGGGAGTTGTGCGAGTGAAGCCCTTGTGTCCCGCCGAGCCGGGCGCTGCTCATTAGCCGGGCGGGGCGGTTAATTACGGCCGTTAATTACCGTTCCTGGGGGGTCCGTCGATGCTGTGCGGATCCGCCCAGCATTCCCCCTCCCCTCCTCCTCCGTCCGCGGCTCCCCGGTGTCAGTCCCCCGTGCATGCGCCCCTCCCTCCCCCACCCCTCCTTCCCTGTCTCCCTCCGGGTCCGTTTTTACACCGAATTCCGCGGTTTCACGTGTTGTTTTTTGTAACCTGCGCTCGCGGGGGAAGGGGGGGGGGGAAGGGAGGGGCGGGCGGCGGGCGCGCGCTCGGGGCTGCCCTGTGTACGCGCCTGTCGCTGTTCCCGCCGCGGTTCTGAGCGCATTAAAGATGTGTGTTTGTGGCTTCCCGGTGCTGCCCGGACTCGTTTGTTGTCGCGGGGTCCGCGCCGGCACCGGCCCCGCCACCGCGGCCGGGCGGAAGGGCCGCCCTGCGGCGTGACGTCACTTCCGCCGTGCGGCGGGCGATGGAGGCGGAAGTGACGGCGGCGGCGGGTGAGTGAGAGCGGGGCGGGGACGGGCCGAGCCCGGGGGGCGCCGGGGTGGGCTGAGCCCCCCGGGCGGCAGGGAGGCACCGAGCCGCCCCCTGGGCAAGGGGAGCTCCGTGCGGGCGGCCTCCTGCTGCCCCGCCTGCCCAGGCCGCGCCTCCGCGCTGGGAGGGGACGGGAGCGGGCTCCCACGGTGTCTCCGCTGCCCGCGCGGGGCCGCCGCCTCTGGGAGCGCGGAGCGGCTGTGACAGCACGGGGAGAGGGGCAGCCGCGGGGCCGGGCCGGCGGGATCCCGCGGGTATCAGTGACACGGCCGGGCCGGTGGGACCCCGCGTGTGTCAGTGCCTCCAGCAGCGCTTGGCCCAGCCCTGGTGCCTTCCCCGTTTACCCGGAGGGATTTCCAGCTCAAGAGGTTTCCCAGAAGTACAGTCAGAAGCCTGGGACAGAATTTAATCCCTTCTTCCCAAGCCCAGGCCCTGCCGAGGTCGTCTGACCCATTTACCCCGTGCTTGGCGGCTGCGGGGCAGCCCGGGGAGGTGCTTGTGCAGCACCCGGGGCTGTGCTTCAGTCAAACAGATACCAGAGACAGCTCAGCTCTGCAGGGCTCGGCGCACTCAGAGCCTCAGAGGGTTAAACTCCTGTTCCTCTCTCCCTCAGCACCCCACGAACCTGGTCTGCAGAAAGAAAAATGCTTTAGTGTGTTCAACTCTGACCTCATTTCCAGCGGTTTTTTTTCCCTTATTTTGTACGGCAGGAGCCTCTTGTGTAACTGCTGGGAGTGGGGGGGCTGCCTGGCCTGCAGTGGGGGGGGACCAGCCCTGCCCAGCACTAAGGGCAGAACTGGGCCTTGTTGGAGGGGCTGTGAAGGATCCCCAGGGATGGATATCGGGAGTGGGGTGGAATTGCCTCGAGTGAGCTTTGCTCTGTGTATGTGTGCAAGACAGGAAAGGGAAAATTCCATTTCTTGGGGGTGGGGGGAAAGAGGTTTCTCTTGGAAGTGGCTGACAAGGACAACAGGGTTGGGAGAAGGATGTTGTTTCATAGAATCTCAGTCTGGTTTGGGTTGGGAGGGACCTTAAAGACCATCCAGTTCCACCCCCTGCCATGGGCAGGGACACCTTCCACCATCCCAGGTTGCTCCAAGCCCTGTCCCACCTGGCCTTGGACACTTCCAGGGCTGGGGCAGCCACAGCTTCTCTGGGCAACCTGTGCCAGGGCCTCACCACCTTCACAGGGAAGAAATGTCTCTGAGTGAGGTGGGAGGTCTCTGGATGAGCTGGGGGTGTCTCTGACACGGGAGGTTCAAACACCTGCTACCCTGGCGTTGTTTCAAGGGATTTGCAGCAGTCAATGAGGGGAGTGGCTTGGATCCAGTGGAGCTTCTAAGCCCTGGGATGATAAATGATGGGTGTTTCTGCAGCTCAGTTGTTGTTACTGGCCTGACCTGTAGTCAGTTCCACGCAGCTTTAATGCTGTTCTTCATCTTAAGAGTTTTGATCTTCCCATTGCTCTCATGGAAGAAACACTCTGTCATGTTTTGCTCTTCCCTAAACTGAGTTTCTGTGTTTGAAACCCTGACTCTATTGAAAACTGCCCTGGGGAAGAGGAGTTCTCTCCTACAAATGCCAAATGTATCACATTCCAAGGTGGCTGTACTCTGGAGGAGTTTTTAATTCCCTTGCTGTGGGGGCTCTGTGGCACCTCCTGTGTCTGTGCACAAGTGTCATTTTGGAAGGACCTGATGTTTTGAAGAGACCTATGTTAACAGAGGCAAAGCAGCAAGAGTGAGAGGAGGGGAAAGGACAGCTCCAGCAGGAGAACCACAGAATCCCTGAATGCTTTGGGTTGGAAGGGACCTTAAAAGCCCATCCCGTTCCACCCCCTGCCATTGAAGGGACACCTTCCACTAGCCCAGGTTGCTCCAAGCCCCATCCAACCTGGCCTTGGACACTTCCAGGGATGGGGCAGCCACAGTTTCTCTGGGCAACCTGTGCCAGGGCCTCACCACCCTCTTTGGTGGGGTTTGGGTCCTTACAAAGGCTGCAGAGACATGACAGGAACAGAATTCCCTGGAGTCAGATGGTGCAGGTGACTCAGCAAAGCAAAGAGCCCGAGTGCAGGGGGCAGCCTGAGTGTCTTTGGGAAGGGAAATCTCATATGGGGGAATCTTATGTGTTATTTCCTCTTGTCTGGACCCTGATCTAAGTGGGACTGCAGGAAAGGAAACGAATGACCCAAGGCTGAGTGTCACAGCAGGTGACTGCCTGGTGAGTTTGCTGCAGTGCCACGCTGTGCCTGGGATCAAAACCCAATAGTCAGCTTGTGGAAGACAGCTGTGAGGGGAATGTTGGCTCTTACTCAGAGCAAAACTTGGCTGTTCTGTCATTATTGATTGCAGCTCGGGGCTTGCAGCAATTTCAGGTTGACAGGAAGGGAACCTGTAAGGTGCTTAAAACAAACAAACAGAACGAAACCAGCCAAATGCTGTGTTTGTGTTCCTAAAATGGCCAGTCAAAACCTGATTTCATCATTCTGTGAAAGACAGAAATGTGTTGAATATCAACTCTAAGTTAGGATATACTGCTAGGAGTTTTCCAGGAAGAAGTGCTGCCTGGTGACATTACAAATGCTGTGGTTTGGTGTTTTATGGGTGGGAAATGAGTTCAACCTTCCATCACACTGATTTTTAAATGGTTTCTGTCACCAGCCTTCACCCACCTGACTGTGTGTGGTTCTCTGTGCTCGTCAGGCACAGTTCTGTCACAGACAGCAGTTCTGCCTGACTGGTAATGGTGGTTTAGCTGCACAAGTGTCACTGGTTTGGTTCAGATCAGATCTGTAAATCTGTGCTGTGGCTTCAGCAGAAGAGGTTGGTCAGTCCCTCATGAAGGTCAGTAAAGCTGTGTTTGTCCTGAGCATGGTGGTGTTATTGTGGGATGGGAAAGGGTGTTTGTTCCCCTCAGCTTTGGTCAGGGTTTGCTCCTAGCTCATCCCATGGCTGGGATAAGCAGCCTTTAGAGTTCGTGGAGGGCTGGAGCCCTGTCTGAGATGCAGATCCTGGCTGTGCTCCCTCGGTTCAGTTCAGGTCTGTCCCATGTGCTTTCTAATTATTTCCTTTTCTGCAAAGTCTTCCTGCCACCCCCGGGCAGGGAGCTGGTGCTGGCTGTGAGATCTGCTGCGCGTGGTGCGCGTCCCACAGCAGCAGCACGGGGTCCTGTCACTGCCCGTTCCCTCCCGAGGTGCCTGGACGTGTCAAACTTCCCCGGGAATTATTTTGTGTCCTTTCATCAGCGGGAGACAAAATGTCGGCTGCTGGAGGGCAGCGAAACCATCTCAAATGCACACTATCATTTTCTGCTTGTCTTCAATTAAACTGATTACCAGACCTCTTTGTTGCTCAGCGCTCAGGCCGTCTCACACGCTGCCAGCGCGTACTTTGGCAGCGGCGGGCGATGGGATTTCCTGCATTGTTTGAATCTTTGCCGCTGACCTTCGTGGTCCTTGTTCTGGCACTGCCTCTGCTCTGGCAGGGGTGCAAAGGGCATTATTGAAAGCCTGAAAGGAAAGAGAAAGAATTGCTTTAAAGGCATTGAGGGCTCTTTGTACTCGGTGGCTCCTGGGGTCATTGGTGCAAAAGGAGGGGAATTGCTGGGGTTTTGGGATAATTACTGCTTTTTCATTGTTCTCGTCCCACTCTAGATGACAATGGTGTGATTTGTAGTGAGTCATAAAAATAGGCCTTCCGTGCAGCCTTAAGCTTGTGTCTTCCCTTTTGGCTGAGGGGGGAGAAGCCTGGTTTTTGTTCCTCTTGGGAAGTCTCGTAGGTGCTGGAAGCACTCGGCTGTGCCGTGGGGCTTTCCCAGCTCCATACTGGGGGGGCTGTGGAGGGCTCTGCTGGAGAGGCCAGCAGGGTTGTGCTGGAGCCCTGTTGCAGCCCATGCTGTGGGCACTGGTTTTGAGAAGATCCACCTAGAGGGACACCCAGAGGGACACGAGCCATCTGCCTCATCCCACGGGAGGTCACAGAACCCGCTCCTGCCTCCGCCCCCATCGCTGCGGCCGCTCTGTGATGGTAAATCATTTGCTCAGCCTCTGCCTGCAGCCTTGTACCTTGAACCTGCTGAAGGTCTGGTGCAGGAACAGAGCTGTGCTCAGCTCTGCAAAAGCTGATTGTGTGGCTCTGTGTTCTTCCCCTTTCCATCTGGAGCCTTCCTACCCCTGTCAGGTGCCTGCAGTTGGTCTGGAAACAGCCTCGTGAAGGTATCCCTGGTGTGGCTGGTGCTCATGAGAAGGGCAGATCTTTGGAATGAGATACAACTTCTGCATTATTGATTCATTTGCATGGTATTGTGCAGGCTGGATTAAATTATCTGTAGTGTGATCCTGTACTTGATGTCATGGAATAAATGCCAGAGTGCTCAGGTTGGAGTAAGTGCTTTGTAACTCTGGCCTTATAAGTCCATGAGGCTCTGGGGTTTGTTAAAGGGTTGACAGTGGTGCTGAGCTGTCCCACTGATCCTGTACCTCACCCCCTGCATTGCCATAGGTCTGTCTCCTCTGGGATTTGTACCCAGAAGAGAAGAGGCCTCTGTGTGGGACAGGGGCAACCTGGGGAGCTGCAGCTGCCTGAAGGAGCTGGGCCTCCCAGGGTGACTCATCTTGTGTTTCACTGGACCTGTAAATGAACTTGGGCACGAAACATGAGATGCAACAAGCCCAGTTGCTGTTGGAGTTGAAAGCCCAGGCTCTCTGTGCTGTGTTAGTGCTGAGTTTAAGCTCTTTTCTGTTGGGGAAGTAAAAGGCTCCAGTGGACAATCCAGGCACGTGACTGCTGGGCACGGTCATGGAAAATTGGCTCGGTTGTCATGTTTATTTGCTCTGATATAACTTTTCATAACACTGTCATGCAGCTTTTTCCAAGCCCACTGGAATGTGTTATTCTTTATTTCTTCCCTTCTGCTGTTTTTTTGAAGAAGCACTGTCAGAGAATCTGTGTGTAGCATTGATTTTTATTATCGTTGTGGGTAATGAGGTACAACCTTCTCTAACTGACTGGCGCTCTTTTTCTCCCCCTTTTATGGCACATTAGCACAGAACCCCTCTGTTTCTTGTAGCTGTAGCTCAAGATTATGATTTATAGCAGGAGAAACTAAAATAGCAGTTGTTAGCTCTTCCAGTCTGATAAAATCAAATTTGCCTGACTTTAGTCTCAATTCCTGCCTTGTTTTATCTCCGGGGAGGGAAGTCATCACTCTCTTGCCTTCTGCAGGGCTGGGTTGCTGAACTTATCCAGTGTTTTGTCATCTGAGAAGGTATTGAATAGCTTTGGTTTGTTCCTGTACAGAATATGCTGGTGTTTGTTTCTCTCTCTCTCTCCTGGAGTGGCTCAAGTGCACGTTACAGTAGGGAACAGCCCTGTGTTGGGATATAAAGGTCACAAGTCTTTCCTTTCACCTCTCCAGCCGGGAGTCAGGCTGACATGCATGGGAGGTGGCAAAGAAGTCTTTGCAGCAAAAGGAGCTTTTGGGGTGTTTTTCTTGAGGGAGACCTATAGACCAGTCAGTCCTTTCTGCGTGGGGTCTGTAGCCTTCTTTGTCCAGCTCTGGCACAGCTGATTCCCTCCTCTGAAGAAGAATTAGTGCTATTCCTGCATCCCACAGTCTCTCCTCATTGCTCCGTGTGGGAGACCTCCAGCACCAGCAGCTCTGTGACAATAATACACTGGTTTGCTCACCTCCCATTAAATGTTTCCAGCATGACTATCAGGTAGTAACAAGAATATTTTAATGGATTTTTTTTTTTAATACGTTCCAAAACGTATTTTAACTTCTCTGTCCGTTGTTGCAGGTGAAGGGGGAGAAGGGAGTCTGAATACTCACGAATGAGCTGTGATGGATAACAAAGATTCAGAAGCTGAGATCCACCCTCTGAAGACTGAGGATGCAAAAGCTCAGGAGAACCATGAGAACTCCGTGGAGAGGAGGATCATCAGCAAGCAGACGGCGGGGCTGTCCCGGCTGTCCCGCTGGCGCACGGCCGCCTTCTTCGTCTCCTTGTTCCTCTGCCTGGTCATTGTCTTTGCTTTCTCCTTTATCATCCCTTGCCCAGAGAGACCAGTGTCAGAAAAAACGTGGTTCCAAAACTACAACAACGCAGGTGAGTTTGCTGTAGCACAGTAAGTACTTAGCAAGAGTCCTTTTGCTTTCTGTGCCACGAATTTGGGTTGTTGGACCTCCACCTAAGCACGACGTGGAGCCAGACCTGCAGGAGTGCTGCCCTTGGGAGCCTGAGCTCTGAATACCTGACCTGGATAAGCAGTGGCCTGGCATAATTGGAGTGGCCTTCCAGGAGGTGTTTACAGGAGCTAGTGGAGAAATTACATGCTGCTCTGAAGCACTGACAAGGTAGCAGGCTGGCCTCATTTGTTAAAAAAAAAATGGGGAAGGGTATCTGGGAATGAATCTCTGCTGAAGTTTGCTCTGTAAAATGTTCCCTTGAAGTTTGAGCTGAGGTTGGAGACAATTAGGCATTTTTTCCTCCGTCCCTATGACTTTCTCCCTTTTCCCCATGACCAACAGGAAAGGGGAGAAGAAGAATTCCATCTTGTTGTTTTTATAAATTGCTTTATAGTTGCTATTGCTATTTTTATTCTAGTTGCTTTGGTTGGCTCTTCAGCCTGGGTCCTGCTCCCCAGTGGCTCAGCATTGGCTTCTGGGAGAGCTGTTCTTTAATCTTGTGTGCAGGAAGTGCTGGAAATGCAGAGACAGTGCTCACAGCAGGGACTGAGCTGTGTGTGGTACTGCAGACATCCCAGGTGCTGCTGCTCTGAGCTCAAGAAGGCTGCTTTTAGCTGAGAAAGATGGAATATCTGGGTTTTCTGGGTGGGTTTTGCGGGGTTATTTTATGCTTCAAGAATAGCAACCCCACACCAAGACCAGAGTTGTTCTTAGTTCAACGTTGTTCAAATTCTGGCTGCTTGGCTATAAAAATAGACAAATCCACGGGGGGATAGCAAATTTAAAAAATCCTTTGGCAGTAACTTCCTGTCCCTTGGTACTCGTGTGCGTGGCATTTTTTAATACAAAATCCAATTTGTCCTAACGTTACACTGTCCGAGATGGAGGCAGTGAGTAGGTCTCTAGGAATTTGTGTTTTGCTCCAGCCAGCTCTGCTGTGGGCTGAGGAAATCCTCACCAGAGCCTGGCTTGTGGTCTCTTACAGTGGCCTACCAGTTCCTTGCTTTGGAAGATGTGAATGAAGACAAAGTACAAGATGTCCTCTTTGTTTTCAAAGCCAGCAACGGCAGCAGCAGCTTCAACAACTCCTGCTTGGATGAAGGTAGCTGATTCAGGGACAGAAAACCTTGTAGTGAGGGCTGTCCTTTCTCTTTTAGTTCTAAGTAATGAGAGACTGGGAGATAAAACTGGGTGAGCTGGGTGGGGAGAGGAGCTGGGTGAGTCCCAGCTCCCGGCGGTGGTGCGGGGCAGCAAAGGTGGTGCAGGTAGAGCTCCCTCTGACATCTCTTCTCCTCAGGGCTGCCTTCTCCCTGTGCCTTTGTTGCTGCTGTGTCTGGCACGAACGGCAGGCCTCTCTGGGAGAGTCCTGCAGCCGAGGATGTGGAGTGGCTGGAGTGTGGCATCCAGCAGCTCGGCGAGGCGGGGGCCCCGGGCTGCCTGGTGGTGGGGAAGCCAGTGGCCCTGACAGCCCTTGACCTGCGGACAGGTGAGTGTGGGCAGGGTCCTGCTGCCAGCCAGGGGACAGGGCCCTGGCAGTGTGACATGACTGGTACATGAACAAAGGGTGTTCATTGACTTGAAAACCTCGCCAGAGCCATTCGCTGGGTGTCGAGGAGCTCTCTCAGCCTCGCTGTTCCAAAGGCTGGGCTCTGTGCTGGGGGTTTGTGCCAACCAGTGTTTCATAAGACCAGCCTTCCAACAGCTTTCTAAACAGGAGGAGCAGTCAGTAGCTGTGAATGTTACACTCTCAGGGGCTGGACACACACCTCCACCTTGCAGCATTTCCCAGTTATTTGCGTGTGCGTGCCAGAACCTCCTGCAAGTGGGAAGAGGAGTGGGAGTTCTAGGGGTTTATGATTTTCAAGTCATCAAGGAGAGCACTTAGATAAGTACTTGCCAGCCTGTTTCAGTAGCCCAGGGTTTTGCCTGGAAAGGTTTCTTCCTTTCTGAGCCTGGAGATGGAGAAATTCCTCATCATCTTGCCCAACACAGGGTGGGGTAAGGAGTGCCTGTACTGCTCTGGGAGCAACGATCATCTGCTGCACCTTGAACCTTCCTTGCTGACAAAGCCTAAAATACATTTCCGTTTTGGGGATCACTGTTTCAGAGGTCAGAACAATGCATGTTCTCCCTAGGATCCCATTTTCTGTATCTGGTATTGAAACCCTCACACACTGTTTTCCAAAAATTGTGAGAGAGAAAAAGCAAGAGGTACAACTCTAAAGAACCTGAGGAAAATCTAGAGTAGCTTTTAATTTCCAGTGTAGATGGAAGTGTAGGTGCACGCAGCTAGAAAGTTTCTGTACCAATGGAGATATCTTAGCACTATTTCTTTCATGTGTAGGCCTTAGCACAGGTTATTTTTAGGCTATTAATGAAGTAGTTGCTTTCAGGTCAAAGTGTAGAAAGTTGGCTGCTGAGCCAAAGGCCTGTAACTAAAGACAGCCATAAAGAAGTAGCACAAGCATGGAGAGAAGGAGCCAGGCTAAGCTACAGGTCACAGCAATACAGTAAAGAAAACATTCCATAGATAACTTAAAAGCAAGAGAGGAAAATGTGCTTCAGATAGAGAAGTGGATAACCCAGAAGTTTACGTGTTTGATGCCTTTTTGCTGTTGAGTAGGTTAAAAGCAGTTTCTGAGCGTGGTTGACTTTTACTGGGGGTTAGGAGGGCAGAGTAGAATAAAATGTATTTAAATAGGCTAAATGTATTCAAAGAGGCAGAGTCTGACTTACATCACTGTGTGCTAAAAACAGTAGCCAGCACAATCTTTAGCTGTTAATGATTCATCATCATGGAGGATTTGATGAGATTCCAGGGCTCTCAGGCTGTCTAGCCCCTGCCTGTAGGAAGATTGAAGTTAGAGATAGGCAGATTATCATCTGAAAGTGTCTGATGTGGTTTTGATCATTAAATGCTGATAAAGTTAGTGTTTTTCTGTCAATTCAAGTTGTGTTAAGTCGTGCTTTCTTCACTGCCAGAAGAAGTGACCTGAACAAACAAGAAGGGAAGTGTAGGAGTGCAAGCTGCTGTTTGTGTGGGACATCTAACATTCTTGCATGTTTATCTTGCCAGCAAACTGGGACACAAGAGCTTAAGATTAACTGTTCCAGGTCAAAGCAAAAGTCTTTGTAGCTGTGTATTCCCTCTCTGCCAGGGCCAGGAGCAGAGTCTTGAGGAAGAGAATGGGAGTGTTTTGTTACACCTACTCTCTTCACCTGATCCTCCAGCAGCCTGCACTGTGAACCCTCTGGTTAGCTCTGATCTCCTGAGGGATCTGGCAGAAAAAGCAGCACGATGATCAGATGTGTGGAATTGCTTCTGTGTGAGGAATCACTAAATAAACCAGAACTGCAACCTGGAGAATGTCTGTCAGGGAGGAAAGTCTCTGTGTCCTCTGCAGCTCCTTGAAGTGAGAGCTGAACTCAGTCATCTAAGTTCCAATTTTATTACTCTTTCCAGACAAAAAAAAAAACCCCAACCCTTCCACCCAGGTTAGATTTGCAGTCTAGGCACTTGTCTAATTTCCATCTTGGCTCCTCTTGCTGTGCCTCTGCTGTGACCCCGGGCTCTGAGGAAGCACCACAGCACTCAAAGTGTCAGACAGAATTGTCCCATCTCCTGGCGATGGAGCAGGAGGGGAATAGTTTCACAGTTCCTGCTCTTTGGGGGTTGGGTTAGAGCACGAAAAGCTTCTCAAGTGCTTGATGCTGAATCTGTCTCACTGTTACCTGTTTCTGTTAAGTCAGACTGTTCTTTTAGGAGACTGAGGTGCTTTCTCCCAAACTGCTCTCTGACCAGCAGAGATTAGAGCTTTATGCATTAGCAGTGAATTTCATCAGCCTGGTCTGTCTTTGGTACCTTTGGACTGTGCTGAAGCCAGGATGTTGTAATTTAAAACTCCAATTCTTTCCTTCCTCTGCCTGCTTAGTGTCTTCAGGGGCAAAATTCTTTGCCTTCCCGTGATTTCCTAGAGAAACTAGAAAATCTGCTCTCTTCTACTTCACATCTGTTGTCATAGTAACAAATCCAAGTGGTTTTTTTCAGTGTTGCAGTAAAAGCTTTGGAGGAATCCTACTGGAAATACATCCTGCCTTAAATTATTGCAGACAGCATCAGGTAGTAATTCCTTGGCCTTCAGTCCAGCTGCCTTCCTGACAAAGAGCAGATGATTACTTTGCATTCCTGACATGATAATTGCTGTGTAAAGGGAAGGGTCAGCATTTCCCCTCTGGGCACTTTGTAAGAGACTGGAGTGTTCCTTAAAACCCCCCAGGAGTGTCCTCCCCACCAGGTTCCACTGGAGATTCCACTGGGCAATGACTGGAAAGTGGCCAACAGCCTTGGACAGAGTGGATGGAGTGGAGCCACTCACCTTTATGGAGCTATTGAAGAGAAACACACACCCCCATATTTTTTAAAAAAACAAAGCTTTTCTACCTCAGTTTACAAACAAGTTTGCATTCTTCAAATGGGAGAGAGGTGGGATGTGGCCAGAGATGTGGCTGGTCATGTCAGCATGGAACATCTGGAGGAATATTCTGCAGGAGGCAAGTTGCAGGAAAAATAGATTTTGCCAGGAGGAGCTGCAACACCATGGTCAGAATTCAGCTGCTTTATGGTCTCAGAATGTCTGTGCAGATTTAGGTGCAGAGCAGCAGGGATTTAGACCCCAACAAAGGATTCTCCATGCCATGAACGTGCTGGGAAGCTTGTTAACCTAAGGCAAAAGGAAAGCAAGCTGTTCTTTGTGCCAGGGTTTTGGGTGCATTCCTGCAGGCAGCTAGGGTTACTTCCCAGTGGAAGATGAAATTGTGGATACTGGGATCCATTGGGAATGCAGAAATGCAAGGAAGTACCCCATGATGAGCATAAATGTGGCTGGTTTGTGGTGCTGCTGGGCTGGAACAGGAGCATTCAACCTGAGGTGCCTCTTAGTGACTGTTTCACACTGTCTTCTAGGGAAGGTTCAGTGGAGACAGCCCAGTGACTTTGGAGCTAATTACACTCTGCTGACTCCTGTGTCAGTGATTCCAGATGTGGATAGTGATGGAGTTCAGGACCTGATAATCTTTATTGCTACAGGAAAGAAGGTATGTCCTCCTGAAGCTCTGATAACCCCAGTGGCTGGACCACAGGGCATGGCAGGAATGCTGTTTATTACCACCTTGTGGTCCAACAGGAAGTGTCCAGAAACCTCTGATTTCTGTGGTTTTGGGGTGGGTTCTTTCTCACCCTCCAGGGATGTACTTGCAAATCAATGCAAGTGTTTTATGGTTTAAAAAAACAAAATAAATCAAAGAGCTGGCCAGGAATCCCTGCCCCTGTTCAGTCTGCTCTCCTCACTGTGTGTTCCTGGGCTGCCTGTGGAGAGAGCCTGGGCAAGATGAGCTTGCAGTTTTCTGCTTCTCTGCTCAGAGAAGTGGAAGTGAACAAACCCTGACAGCTTTGGCTCTTAGATCAAAGCACAGCTGACAGACAGTGCTTTTGTACCACCACTGCCCTTTTCTGATCCCTCCCCTCTCTCTGCCTGTGGTCTGCTTTTGCACTGCTCTCTTGCCAGTGTCACTGTGCTGGTTAATTCTGACCTGGGTTCATTCAGTTAAAGAGCTGCTGGTTCTGTTATCTCTGTCCCAGTATTGCTTTTCACGTTTCTGAGAGGGGGAAAGTCATGTAGCTGAAACTGGTTTTGTACTAAAATACCTACATCTGTGATTGAGTGGCACAGCGTTGTCTGCATGCCTGGTCTGTCCCGCTCGAAGCACACAAGTTACAACTCCCTGCAAGTCTCATGGGAGCAGTGGGAGCCCCATGTCCTCATACCAGAGTCACAGAATCACAGATGGAAAAGACCTCCAAGATCACCAAGTCCAACCTGTGCCCCATCCCCACCTTTTCACCCAGACCTGAGCACTGAGTGCTACGTCCAGTCATTTCTTGGACACCTCCAGGGATGGTGACTCCACCACCTCCCTGGGCAGCCCCTTCCAATGTTTAACAACCCTTTCAGTGAAGAAATTCATCCTAATAGCCTGGACCTCCCCAGAGGCAGTTTCCTCTTATCCTGTCACTTGTTCTCTGGGAGCAGAGCCTGACACCCCCCCCCCAGCTCCCCCCATCTTGTCAGGGAGTTGCAGAGAGTAGAAAGGTCACTCCTGAGCCTCCTTTTCTCCAGGCTGAGCCCCCCCCCAGCTCCCTCAGCTGCTCCTGGTGCTCCAGACCCTTCCCAGCACCATTCCCTTCTCTGGACATGCTCCAGCTCCTCAATGTCCTTCTTGTCATGAGGGGTCCAGAACTGGACACAGGACTGGAGGTGTGACCTCAGCAGTGCCAAGTACAGGGGTACAGTCACTGCCCTGGTCCTGCTGGCCACACTGGGGCTGGTATAAGCCAGGTGCCATTGGTCTTTTTGGCCAATGTCTTCCATAAGAAAATAGGGTTTTGCTGTCTGAGGCATTGTTGTTGCCAGAGTCATCAGAAATTCTATCCTCTCTGACTCCTATGGTTCTCTTCTGTTCCCTTTCCTCCTTGCTTTTGCTATCCCAGTTATCTCAAGACTTTTTGTTTTTTTAATCTTAGCCAGCCAAGAAATGTTTGAATGTAGCCTCTGTTCTGCAAGACTGCCTTTTGATCTGTTTTCCATTTAAGCTCTCTAGCTATCTTGGTATGAAATCCCTTCCTCCCTCCGGACTTGGCAAGCATTCTGTCAACTTAAGGAAAAGTATGTTCTTTTTTGAGAAATCACACAAACTGTAGGGAGCTTGAGTGGAGCTGTGCAGCTTGGAAAGGGCAGTCTGGTCAGAAGAGAGATTCAGAACCCAAGTGAAGGAGCTTTGCTGCTATCAAGGGCTGAAGCTGAACGTTACTGAAAGGGCAGAGCTGTGAGCAATCTGTGGGGAAGGGTCTGTGTGCAGGGGGTTTTGTGGCAGCTTTTTCAGAGACCCTCATTGACCTGCTGCAAACTTCAGCACCAATACATCCCAGAAAATGCAGTTTTCAGGATCCATGACCTCTGGCAGCACACAGAGGGGTTGGGCAGTGCAGGGGCTGAGGTGATGTGTGTTCTCTCTCCCTGTGTGAATATGTTTGGCTGTCACTGTCCCAGGGCAGCTGCTGGACCGGTGCTTGCCAGTAAAGGTGATCCTGGTCTACAAGAGCTGGTTTGTGTCTCCTCCCAGTGCAGGAGGCTGGGAACAGCTGCTCTCCCTCTCCAGTTGTGTTCTCATTCTCCTCAGCAAACTTTGTCCCTTATTCACCTGCCAGACTCTCCAGATTCACTTCAGGAGCAGCAGATTTCCTTCGCTTCCCCAGTGCATCCCTTTGAAGGAAGAGGGAAGGGTTTCTGCCTGACTCAGCATCTCTGTGGATGCTGTTTCTCTGAGTCTGATGTTTCTCTTTTCCTTAATGTGCATTGCTCTCCCCAGACTGTGACTGTTGCCCAGACATTTGAATCTGATCCTGATTTTAACCTTTATTCCCCTGGGAGAAGTGTTTTTAGTGGATCCTGTTACCCTGCACAAAGAATAGAAAGAGAAAGAAACCCATCAGCTCTTTTATCCCCTTGGACTTTACATCAGACTTAAGAGGAGTAGATTAGGGCACTTAAAACATTTAGCAGAGCTGCCATGTGAAGCCAAGTTTCTCTTGTGTCCATATGGTGCTTTGTTTCTGCCTTTAGCTGCTCTCTGTCGTTGTCCCTGCTCAGATCCACTCAAGATCCAGGCTCTGTCCCTGGCAGAGCTGGGGCTGCTGTTCAGCAGTCCTGGTCTGCAGGGAAGGTGGGTGGCAGAGGTAGCAAAATCTCAGGGTAAGTGGCTGTGCTGGAATTGGTTTTCAAACTTGCAAAAGTATTCACAGCAGAGGGGTCACCAAACTGGTGCCCACTCTTCCAAAACCAGGGAGAGACTTCCCGTCCGAGCCTGTGCTGCTCCCATTCAGCTGCTGTTCACTATCAGTTTTAACCTTGTTGGTTTTTGGTTTTTTTTTAATCCCTTCCCTGTGTAGATTAAGAGCTTCATCCATTCAGGAAAGAATGGCAAGCAGATTGGCTCCACTGGCAGCCTGGCCGTGGATGGGAGCGCTCGCTACATCAGGCTGAACCTGGGCTCCTCCCCCTACTTCCTTTTCTATACAGGTACAGTTCTGCTTGGGAATTCAGTCTGGAAGAGTGATTGTAACTGTGAAATAGGGATTACTAAACATTTTTTTGGCTGAGAGAGTGTTTTGCATTCCTGAAAGCCATGTGGTGCTTCCACCTGGCTGAAGAGCTGTTCAGGGCCAAGAGAAGGGGTTTGTTACGTACTGTAGTGATTTTATTTAACAAATGTCAGGCATGTAAGGATTAAGCAGTCATTTATAGCAAATGATTACTGTGGAGCACTTGGATTATGAACAGATAAGATGTTAAAAGCATTCAATAGCAGGCTTGAATCTCAAAATACCACTACAACTCTATGATGCAAGCCCTAAAAATATAGTTTATCTGCCAGATCTGGAAAAATCATAGAGTTCAGAGCAGGGGCAGGATAACTTATCTCTCTCATTCTTGCATTTATTTTTTTTTTTTTTTTTTGCACAGAAAACTCTCTCTATGCATATTCTCTGAAAGATCTGTACAATGCAGCAACTGGGATGGAAACTAAGCTTCCCAGCCTCCGGCAAGATCCTCAGTGGGAGAAGAACATTGACAGCCCCACGCACCGCGTATCCCTTCTCAGGTGTGAGGTTATGTCTTGGGGGCTGGTGGAGTGGAGGGTGCTGGTGTTGCTGTCAGGATGGGCTGCTGGGGCTTTGTTCTCTCCTGACTACATGGCTTTTGGACTAGGAGCACATCCAAAGCTTAGGAAGAGGGCTGGTGTAAATGGCTGGTATAAATGGCCTTGTCAGGGGTTCGCAGAAGAACAGGGAAAGCAGGTTGGGGTTTCCTATTTGCATTTATTGCGCAAGGGAAAAACCCAGAACCTCAGAGTGGAATCCTCCAGGATGATTAATGATTTCTCTGTCCTTGTTCAGCTCTGGAGACTTTCGCTACCTGGCAAAAATTCCTGGGCAGCCATGGGAGAACATCTTGGTTGTAGACTCAGAGATGGCCACGCTGATCAATGGGAAGAACCTCCAGACTTTGTGGACCCTCAATGTGTCCCGTGCTTTGAGGTACTGTTCCCAGTGTGGGCTGGATGTGGCATTTCCAGGTTCCCAGCAACAGCAGTGTCCTGGCAGATGCTGGTTTTGTTTGTGCTTATTGTGTCATGTGCCCTCCGTTACCAAATGTCAGGGGCTGCTTCAGAATGGAGGAGCACAGAGCTCTGATCCCTCACTCTGTGCCTGCTGTGACGTGGCTGGGCTCAGAGTTGGGGTGGTACCAGGCTGACCCAACGTTGTAACAGTCGAGTCTCTTACCAGGGCAGTTGTGGGAGGATAGAGGCTGCTTGGAAAGAGCAAGGTATGCCCAAGCCATTGGGGTGGGTTCTGATCTCTCTCTTCTCTTCCTCTCCCTCAGTAAGCCGCTGCTTGGTTACTACAAACCTGATGTTCCTGGTATTGTCCTGGAGAGTGAAATTGGACCCAACAAGAAGAAGGTTTGAAATCTCTTCCTTTTAACTTCACTTTTCTCTGTATTTCACAGCTCAAGCAGGCATTGAGTCAAGGACAGCTGGTGGGATGTGTTCTCTCTGGCTGATTTTAGGAGGCTTTAAGCTAGGAAAGGATCTCTTTCAACAGGTTATTGAAGCCAGCTCAGGCACTTTAATTCTCTTGTCAGCAAGAGACTTCAATGACAGAACTTTGAACCCCTTGAAATAGCTGCAAAACTTGTGACTTGAACGTGGCCCACCCCAGGTCTCACAGCTCTGTGATGCTCCACTTCAAGTATTTCCTCATCTTCCCATCTGTCAGATACTTGTTCCCATAGACAGTGTAGGGAGAGACAGCTGACCTGACTTGTCTCTCATGGCTTGTTACATCCCTTTGTTACGAGTTCCTTTCCTTTCTTCCCTGCTAGGTGATGATTGTTGAGAGTGCATCTGGAGCAGTCCAGTGGGACCTGAATCTGAACTCAGGAGCAGAGAGTCCTGAGCCAGCCACACTTTCCACTGCGGATCACCGGTCCACCTTCCTCATCTGGGGGGACTACGAGGAGCCAGGCAATGAGACAGTGAGTCCTGCTGCTGAGGGGTTGCTGTGCTCCAGACATAGAGCCAGAATTGGGTGGAGCTACTCCCTTCTCCCAGATGACATTCTCATCTGTCTGTGCCACTGACGCTGCAGCCTCCATGCTGGGTGTGGGGTCTCTGCAGAAAGCACCCAGAGCCCTGTGTGTGATCTGGTCTCTACTGGGTCCTCACAATGTCCATACCAGTGTCTCTGCTAGCAGGTGGTGGCACCAACAGCTTTTGTCATCCTCAGGCTGATTATGTAGAGAAAAGGAACTTGGTGGCTCTATGAGCAAAGTCACTGGGTGCCCAGAGCCCTGCCTTGGTGTGGCACTGTGAGTGGGGTGAGAGGCTGCTGCCCTGGTACCTTTGGAGGTGCTGCTGTTTCTTTGGGAGCCTCCCATGGCAGCACTGCATGCAGTGATCTCCTGTGGCCATGTGAATATCCTCTCTCTGCCCCAGGCAGCCTCTGGCAGCCTCAGTGCACAGCTCAGCTGCTGCAGAGCCCTCCGGGGCAGTGACAGGCAGTGTTGGTGACAGGTTGTGTCTCAGAGGGTGCTGAAGCACAGCTGAACCTCCTCTGCTTTCCTCGCTCACTCTGCCAGCCCTGAGGTAAAAATCTGTCTCCTGCTTGCAGCAGGCAGGCCAGCTATTTTCAGGAAGCTTGGGGTGAGGAGGAGAGCACTGAGCAGCAAGCAAAATCCCAGCACTAGTTCCTAGTGACATCAGTCATGATGAGTTGGGCTGACATGGACAAGTGTCTGACTGGATGAATCCAGTCCAGCATGAGTAATAGCTGAGCCAGGTGCTGGTGTTGTCTCTGGGATAACGTGTGGGTCCATGTCCTGATCGTGTCCTGTTGCAGAGATCCACAGCTCCCCTCCAGAAGCTGTACCTTTTCCATCCTTCCTACAATAACGTCCTCTTGGAGCTCCGCAATAACACAGACCAAATAATTGCATTCAGCGGTAAGTCCTCTCCCTCCAGCCCTCCAGCAGGGAGCTGTGAGAGGGACACTGGTCCCTCCTGGCCTCCCTGGGTGTGTGGTGTTGGGTCTGGTGTCCAGGCTGAGCACAGAGGGCTTAGGCTGGGCGTTCCCTGTGCCTTGCAGCCGCGCTGTTTGAGCGGAGCCGTCACGCCTGCTACGTGCTGCTGAGGGGCCCCCGGCCCGGCCAGGAGCCAGGGCCCGTGTCACTGATGAAGAGGAAGCTGAAGGAGGATGTGTCAGAGAGCAAAGTGATCTGGCTGAACCAGGTGGCTGTGGACAGTGAGGAGTACATCCGGAACCGCCTCTACAGGATGCGATTCCACAGCCGGGACTGAGCCTGCCCAGGGAGGGGGAGAGGCTGCCCGGGGCCAGGCATCTCCAGGCTGCCTCTGCTCTGCAGCCGTGCTCTCAACAAGCCCAGATCATGGATTCAGATGGGAAGCTGCCTTTCTCGACCTGCAAACCAAAGCGTGGCTGGCAGGGATGCGCCCCCAGTGTCTGGGGACACCCAGGCTGTGGGGGCAGCTGCCAGTGCATCCATCCTCAGAGCTGATGGGACTTCAGTGCTTGGCCACCACTGAGGTGTCGTCAGCTCGGGGAAGAGGGCCCTCCCCTCCATCCCTCTGTGCCCGCAGAACTGTGCTGACTCGGGAGTGTGTCTGGAGGAAAACATGTGCTTGCTGGGGATGCTGGAGTGGATGATTTCTGGGGTGTTTGGAGCTCGATGTGTGGTGTTAGATTTCCTTTCTGAATCAGCTCTCCTGGCTGGGGGAGAGGTGCTTGGCTGCAGGTTGGTTTGCAATCACCCTCTCCTGGATTTGGGCCCTGCTTCAGTAGTGGTGGGTGTGTGTAGTGCCAGACCCCCGCCGTGCCTGTCCGTGTGGGGCTGGGGGTCACCTGGGCCAGCAGAGCACAGGTTAAAGTGTTGTTCTACTTAGAAAATGGCCTTTTCTATTAAGAACAGCCCCACATGCCCTACTCTGCAGTCACCAGCCTGCCTGTGTCTGTCTCCTCTGCTGCTTCCTTCCCAAGCAGGCTGTGCAGTGTTGGTGACACCAAAAGGGAGCTGGTCTCCATGTTCCTCCCTGCCCTCAGTCTCATTATAGGTGATGAGCCCAGGGTGGCTGGTCCCTGGTGGTACCAACACCACCTCTCCTGATTTAAAGGAACCAGAGGATCTAGGACATTTTTTTTTTTCAGAGTAGAATTGCACTTTAACCTTTCCTGGGAGCTGGGATTGCTGCTCTGGGAAGCCCTGTACCCGAGTGGCAGTGCCAGCTCCCTGCTCATTCAGCCTTGCAGCTGCTGAGGAGCCTTCTCCAAGCACTGTCCCCTCTGCCAGGAGGTGGGCAGGAGCTCCATGCTGCTTCCCTGCCCTTGGAATTGAAGTGATGCTGGGTGGGGATCCTCGGGTGCCTCTCTGCCCAGCCCAGTATCCTGAGGGATGGGACAGGTTGCTGTGAGGAGATGACATGTTCCTCCTGGAGATCTGTGTAGCATCAGGGGGTGTTTGCTCTGCCCTGTCCTGGTGGGTGCCAGTGCAGGCTGTAGAAACAAGGTGCAAAGCCTGGAAAAGGGATTGAACTGCCTGCTCAGTCCTGAAGATAAAAATTAACCCTAAAAATAACCTCTCACAGGCTCTGCCCCCTCTGCCTGGGGGGGAGTTGGCCAGTGCCTCCCTCCCCTGCTGAGTCTCACACTGGGGGATGTGTAGAAACACTGTAGGATGGGAAACAATGCCAGGCTGTGCAGGGTCGGGCACTGGCTCTTCCCTTCAGCTGAGTCTGAGTGTGCCACAGGGCAGCTGCTGTCACCAGGCTCTTGGCACAGCTTCAGCCTTCCCAGTCTGAAAGCACGATGACCTGGGCTGCTGGCCACACACCTCCTGCTTCCAGCTGGCCTGGTGGCTGCCTAAAGGATGCCCTGGCTCCCTCTGCCCAGTGACCAATATCCCAGGCAGTCAAGGGAGCCAGTCCTGGGGCATCCAGGCTGTGCCAGGAAGCCAGGGATGCTCCCTGGCGAGCACACCACAACCTTCAAAGCACCTTGAGCTCAAAATGGTGAGTTTCCCTCTCTTCCTCTCTTCACAGGCTGTTATCTGAGGGAGTCTGGGGTCGCAGGGATGTTCCCCTGCTGTCCCCCAGCCTGGGTTGCCTCTTTGCTCAGCACCTGAGGCCTGGCAGCCCCACAGGTCCCCATGCCAGCATTGCAGCCATAAGAGGCTCCAAGGCCCTTCAGCCACCCGGGGCAGAGCAGGAGTGTGGCTGCAGGAGCAGGTGCAGGCTGGGAAACCCCAGGCTTGCATATTAGTGCAGCCTGAGTGTTGGATGTGAATTGTATCCCACTGAGATTCCCCTGGCAGGGATCGGGGTGCCTGTGCTGTGTTCTCACCACACTCTCCCTCCTCTGATCCCTTTCCCATAGGCACACTGAATGTTCCTTCAGGGGAGCTGGATTTTCAGCTTTGGGGAGCTTTTCTGGCTTTAAGTCGTCCATTAATGTTTCCAGGTACTTTGGAAACGCAGATTTCCCTGTGGCAGCTCAACTAAACGCATCAGTGCCAAACCAGCACCTTCTTAACAAAACCAGTCCTTTCTCCAGCTTATTTTCCTGTGTAATTGTTTTATTTGCGGTATTTCCTGAATGACTTCGTGCCTTGATTCAATGACCCAGCTGGGTGGCGGTGGCGTATTATCACTGTGTTCTGTGTTAGCGTGATTTTTAACACTGAGACTGTTTGGTTTGATTCTTTAACTTATTGCAAATTGTGCCGTACAGGACTTGCTCTAACCGGAATGGTTTCAATAAACGCTCTTTTGCATTGTTTGTAAATGGTGCCCTGTTTTGGTGTTGCAGCGGGGGTTACACGAGACCTCTGGGATTTTGGCAGCCCTTTGGGTGGCTCCTGAAGGCAGAAACACCCCCCTTTTCGGGAGGGATCCAGGTGTCCTGGTGATGCTTGGATGGCTGAGGTGCTGCCTGCTGCCCGGCCTCGCTGCGGGCAGCGATGGACCAGGAGAAGGGAGTGTGTGGAGGGAGGCTGGAGTTAGATAACCAGGCTGGGCCAGCCCATCCCTGCCCCCCACCCGGGGCTCCGTGACCTGGTTTTACACCCCAGCTTCCTGGTGCAGTCCATCAGCAGGAAAATCTCACCGGGGCTTGGATTTGGATCAAGCCGGAGGGAGACGCGTGGCAGGCGCTGTCTCCGGGAGTGTGGGACCATCTGTCGCTGCCCGGTGCCTGCCAGCCCAGGGCCCCGAGCCCCATCCTGTGACCGAGGCTCCAGCAGCTTCCACTGCCCCCGGGCTCCTCTGTCTGCCCCAACACTGAGCTCAGGATGCCCGCTGCTCCATGCCAGGGTTCCCAGGCTCTGTGGCAGGGAAGGATACCGTAATGCCCAGCATTCCAGGGACCGCGGTGTTTGTTAGCCGGGATATGGGCTGGGAACACCCCCAGCCTGCTCCTCTCTGTGGGTCCCTGGGTGCATGTGGGGCGGGGTGAGCTCCAAGGGTGAGCACTGGTGGGCACCAGCCCCCCTCTCCTTTATGTAACCACCACTGATAATCCCCCACAGCTGGGGCTCGGCTCCCAGGAAGGGAATAATCCTGCCGTGAGATCCTCGCCCTCTGCTCAGATTATCAGTCCACGGGCAGGGAGAGTGGCTCAGCTGCCAGCCCTGCTCCCTGCCAGCCCCCAGGGCCCTGGCAGCCCGGCTTTGCTGGCCCCTGGCATCTCCAACCCTGTTCCCAAGATGGTCCTCCTGACCTGGGGTCTGCACTTGCTGGGTGCTGCAGGCACGGGAGGGGGGTGCTGCCAGCACGGGGGGTACAGGACACAGTCCAGCCTGGAGAGGTGATCAGCACCTTGTGCACCTCGCACCCTGCTACGGCCTCCCTTGTCCCCCTTCCCCAAAAACCGCGGGAGGCTCAGTGTTCCCCCATGGAGGCTTTATTGTCCTGTGCCCGGGGTGGGGGCGGGAGGAGGGGGTGACCCCGCACCAGGCCGGCTGGGTGCAGGTTCCCCGAGGGAGGGGAGGGTGTGGGGATGTGAGCGGGGGCTGCAGCGGGGCCAGCCTGGCCCCGGGGGGTTGCTGGGGAGGATATGGCTTCTCTCCTTCAGTGCTACTGCCGGCAGGGTCCTGCGGCGGGGCTGGGGTGTGCCGGGTCAGGGGGCTCTCATGTTGGCGGGGGGCTGCAGCCTCAGCTCTCCTCCTCGGGGACGGGGGCAGTCGAGGGGCTCCTGCCCCTCTCCTCGGCATCGCCCGCGGGCAGGAGCAGGGCCGGGCTGGGGCTGGAGTGCCGCTGTTTGCGCATGAAGGGGAAGACCCTGCGGGCAGAGCGGGGTCAGAACCAGGAGGGATCACCCAGCGCCCCGAGGGGGACGGTCCCGGCCCTCACCGCTTCTTGGTCTCCGGGGGAATGATGGCCTCGGCCAAGAGGTTTTTGTAGAGGTCCGACTTGAGGAACCGCGGGTAGGAGTCCTGGGCGAGCAGAGGCGTCAGGATCCTGCCCAGCCCTGCCCACCCAAGCCCTGCCCTCACCCACCTTCTTCATCAGCATGTAAATGTGCATCTGGGCGTCGTCCATCACGTATCGATGGGGCGTCTTGATGCCCTCCAGCGTCCGCTCCATCGTCTTACTGTCGATGTTCACCCAGCGCGTGGCCCCGGGAGCCAGGAATTGTCTGGGGAATCACAGGCAGCGCTGAGCCCGGCCCCGCAATGGGACCCTCCCCCAAACCTTGCCCCCCAAACCCTGGCCCCGCTGGCACTCACTGGTAGATGGAGTCCACGATCTCGGCGATGCGGGACTGCTCCCCGTAGCGCAGCTCCTCACACGCCTCCCAGAAGCTCAGGTTCTCGGCTGGGGAGGGGCAGGTGGCACTGGGCACCCCCCATGGGCAACCCCCCAAGGCCATTGTGGTTGGGCATGTGGCCCTGCAGCCCCCCCTGGGATGGAGCCAGCTGGGATGGTGTGGGGAGGTGGGTCCAGGGGAGCTGGGGCAGGTTAGTCAGGAGGCACTGGGATGGGGTGGTAGATTTGGAATGCCAGCATGGGGAGGTGGGTTGTGTGATGCCAGGACAAGGCCATGGGTTGGTTTGGTGGTGTTGAGATTGGCCAGTGGGTTAAGCACTACTGGGACACTATGGTGGGTTTGGAGGTGCTGGGACGGAGCGATGGGTCTGGGGGTGCCAAGACACAGCAGTGGGTTTGAGGGTGTGGGGCTGGGGCCGCTCACCACTGAACTCCTTCTTGAGGAATTCGAGGAGCTGTGCCCGGCCCAGGGGATCCATGATGAGCTCGCTGAAGTTAAAGCCCCAGCGCTCCACACGCAGTTTCGTGGGGGTTGTCACCCTGCAGGCAGCACCAGCACTGGGGCTGGCAGCCCATGGCTGCCTGTGTGACCCCACACCCCGTCCTTGGGTCGGGGTACTGGGGGGCGTGGGGCGGGGGTGCTTACGTGGGGGCGTTCATGACCCAGTACGTGGTGTCGTCCGTGATCCAGGGGTTGCTGGGCAGGCAGCCGGACATGATGGGGTCGTGGGGCACGTACTGCTCGTTGAACTTGATGTACCTGCCGGGAGCGGTGGCTGGAGGTGGCCAGGGCCACCGACCCCAGGCACTGCGGGGATGCCACGGGGATGTGGTGGGGACATGCCCGGGCTCTGCAGAGCCTCAGCTCCACTCCCTGCTGAGGGTTACGGTGCTGTGGTGCTGCCCGCCAGCTGCAGCAATGTGGGTGCCCCTCTCACCCCAACAGAGACCTGGCCTGTGGCCGGGACAGCCACTGCCACTCACCCCTCGAGGCAGATGGAGGACTTCACCCTGGTCCTGGCCATGGCCTTCCTGCAGTACTCAATCTGGGACCAGATGCAGGGAAGATATTAGGGTGCCTGGCAGCCTGTGACCCCCAGGAGCCACCTCCAGCCCTTGCCCTACTCACCTCCCGCTTGTAGTAATCCATGTTCTTGGTCTGCAAGAGACAGGCAGAGCTGGGTGAGGGCAGGGCAGGGCCAGGACATGGTGTCCTGCCATCACCACCCTGGCAATCCAGGCATCCAGTCCCCCACCCCAGGACCCTGTAGCCCATCCCCGTGGCCTCCAGTCTCATCCCCTCAGCCCTCCTGGCTCAGCCAGCACAGCCCATGGGGCGTGACCCCCCCACCCCAGTGTGACACCAGCCCTAGGTTAGTGACACTTACGTGGGCAGAGGACACGGTGCACGGCGCAGAGAAGAGAAAGTGGGTGGTTAGTGAGACAGATTGGGGGGACTGGGGCAGCATTAGTGGGGTCACGACACAGGGAGGGTTAGAGTTAGGGTTAGGGCTCCTGGCAAGGCAGTGCCCTGCAGGGATTAGAGGTGCTGGCACAGGGGGATGGTGGGTACATGGACAAACACACAGACCCCCCGGCTCAGCAGGGGCAGGACACAGGGTGGACACACAGATGTTAGCAGAGCTGGGGCTCACCACCCCCTCCCTCCCCAAATGTGGACAGAGCCTGTGGTGGGATGGATGGGTACCCACTGGGGCAGCTGAACACTCTGTCACAGGCACATGGCTGTGCCCTTTGCCCACTGGCAGCCCCAGGGGTGCCTGGACCCCTCCACTCACCAGCTGGACACGGGTGGTGTGGCAGTTCCTGCGCTCGGGGCCCTGCTCCAGCACATTGGGGGCTCCCGGCTGCAAAAAGAGCATCGTGATGGAGGCTGGGGGACCCTCTGCGCCCCCCAGCCCCGCTCCCCAGGCTGGGGCTGTGTGTGGTGCCAGGGCGCTTCCCAGGGCTGCACCCGCCAGCACGGCACCCCTCGCCCCCCACGGTGCTCACCGGGGGCCGGTTGACGAGCCAGAACGCCTGCTCCTGGCAGTCGATGACGATGCGGTCGCCCTTCCGCCGCTGCTTGGCCGCCCTGCCCGTGCAGAGGCAGCGGGGGAGCGCTGGCACCCCGCACCCCGCCTGCCCCGCACCCGCGGGGGCTCCGTCCCGGCCGCTCCCCGGGGCGCGGCGGGGCCGGCCGTGCCCGCACTCACCGCAGCTGCTCCCGCGCCTGCATCACCACGAAGTCCCACGTGTGGTTGATCCGCTTGTGCAGGAGGTTGTAGTTGTCCTGGGGAGCGGCAGCGGCGGTGTCACCCGGGTGGGCACGGTGTGGCACCTGTCCCCTTGCCCGGCTCCGCGTCCCGTTGGCCCAAGGGCACTCACAACTCCCCGCGGTGCCGGTGCCCCCACCACAGGGGAGCCCGTGCTCCTGGGTGAGCTGAGACCCCCCCCCAGCTCATCACAGGAGGGCACCGCTCACCTTCTCGTGCTCGATCAGGTCGCCCTGCTTGCGGATGTTCTTCTTGGCCAGGTAAATGGCTGCAAGAGGAACGGCGGCACCTCAGAGGGGCTGGGAAGGGGTTGCAGCCCGTGTGGAGCCAGCAGCACGGTGGCACTTACCGTAGTCCAGCTCCGTGGCCGGCCACTTGGTGCTGGTCCAGAAATAGGGGGTCTAAGGGGGGAGAGAGAAGCTGAGTCACATGCCGTGGGGTGCCACGGAGCCGAGGCGGGGGAGCCCCGACCCGCGGCAGTGCCCGTGCCCGGCGGGGCTGTACCTGGAAGCGGTAGGGAGACTCGTCCGCCCGCAGCACCAGGCTGCGGGGGTCTCTGAGCGGGTAGATGTAGCCGTGCTTCACGATGAGGTTGCCGAGGTGCAGCGCCTCTGGGGGAGCAGGAGTGGGGGCTGCAGAGCAGCTCGGCAGCCCCAGTTGCCCCCGCAGTGCCAGCTGCCCGTGCCAGGGCACTCACCCTCCTCGGAGATGCCGTACTTCTGGATGAGCCACTCCACGATGT